TATTGAAATAAATGTTTGTTATCTATGTTTCTACCCACGGCTAAATTCCGCTAAATTCGGGAATTATGGATTCTAGAAAAAGCAGATTTTCATAAGAATCGTGCAAAAGATAAGCTCAAGTTGCAAAGCTTCATTTTTGACTGATATACAATATTAACACGTAATTTTTTTTAGTAACACCATCAACAATGACTAGCATGTAGATTACAATATAGACTCAATATAGTTAAATTTATAAAGTTACGAGTGAGTCAAGGAATTACATGGCAAGAACATTTGCATACAAAAAAAGAGACACAAAGATTAGTCGAGGCATTATTTTGTTTTATTTTTCTTCTCCATCCTCAACAACATCCTTGCATTGAGTGGACAAAAATTCTCGAACTCCTTTGGAAAGACCACCATTCGTTGCGGGATCCTAAAATTCAGTAGTTGTTGCGCACTTAATCGAATTTTTCTTAGCAGAAGAAAAGCTTATAGTTGCTTTAGCCAAGACCTATGATGAGAATTCAAAATTTACCCATTGTTATAGAAAGTAAGGCATGAATGGTGCCCAGCTATAGGTTTGTATACTTTGAATCAATGGAATAGGCGGGTGGAAGGGCGAGCAACCGCTCGCATTTGCGTCTCTCCCTCGCAGCATGCTCTCTAATCACTCTGATCTTAACTAGGTCACGAAATCCCGCCTACCAGCCGCCTATCTGGTTGAATCAATGGATAAGTCTACGTTCGTAAGAATAATGGTTTTCTCCAAACTTTCGCGAACTTGTTTACAAACTTACGACCTTAGCAAAAATCTCAAGATGATTTTTGCCTTTCCATATGAGCCCACATCGGAATTCTGGATCGTTTTTCGTGAGAAATTTGTGAATTTTACCAAGGCAGTCATGAACTGGAACAGAATTGGTAACGTAAAGCGTTTATAAAAAAATTCAATCAAACCTCTGCTCAATGTAACATATGGAAGCGGTTTCATCATTTTAGAAATGTCTTGTTGTGTGTAGAATGAGGGTTTGCCAAAATCTCCATTTCCTTTGAACCAACCAACAATCTCCTGAAAATTATTGCTCTTTGACTGTTTATAGAGGATATATTCAAAACAAACCTGATTCGCATTGGTAAAGAACAGTTGTGCCCAAGTGAAAAATGGAAATCCTGCACCTTGAGGATATGTAGTGAGAAGCTGTAGTGGCACATCTCGGGGCATTTCACC